GCTTCACTGGCCCCCGCCAAACCCGGCTTTGGAGATTGCATTGCCTACAGCGAAGTGTCTCAAAATAGAGAGTGAGTGAGTGAGTGAGTGAGTGAGTGAGTGAGTGAGTGAGTGAGTGAGTGAGTGAGTGAGTGAGTGAGTGAGTGAGTGAGTGAGTGAGTGAGTGAGTGTGTGAGTGAGTGAGTGAGTGTGAGTGAGTGAGTGAGTGAGTGAGTGAGTGAGTGAGTGAGTGAGTGAGTGAGTGAGTGAGTGAGTGAGTGAGTGAGTGAGTGAGTGAGTGAGTGAGTGAGTGAGTGAGTGAGTGAGTGAGTGAGTGAGTGAGTGAGTGAGTGAGTGAGTGAGTGAGTGAGTGAGTGAGTGAGTGAGTGAGTGAGTGAGTGAGTGAGTGAGTGAGTGAGTGAGTGAGTGAGTGAGTGAGTGAGTGAGTGAGTGAGTGAGTGAGTGAGTGAGTGAGTGAGTGAGTGAGTGAGTGAGTGAGTGAGTGAGTGAGTGAGTGAGTGAGTGAGTGAGTGAGTGAGTGAGTGAGTGAGTGAGTGAGTGAGTGAGTGAGTGAGTGAGTGGGTGCGTGTGTGTGTGTGTGTGTTGAGTTGATGTCAGTGTGTGTGTTGTGACGTTACTACTGCGCACTACCTGCCATCTTAGTAGATGTTTCTTGCCACACGCTAATGGGCCTGCTTCCTTCCGCAAACGTGCCTCGCGCAAGTTGCCCCGTGCTTCGAACAGATTGCAGTAAACTGAGGCTGCCGGCGCGGCCGGCGGTGCGTCAGCAACGTAAATCCGGCCGCGCCCCGAAGGGGGCGAAGGGGCTGTGTGTAGATCCCTCCCACCCGCTGGGGAGGGGTTTACCCCTCCCCTTACCCCTCCCCACAGAGGTGGCCCCCCCCCCTGCGCCGCCGACTTTCTTTCCCCCTTATGTGTCAGCCCATAGTGGGCCGGCAGGTTCAAGAAACACAATTCGGCTCTTGGGGGTACCCCCCGAGCATGGGCCCCAACTTGGGCCCAGTTTTGCGCAAACACTGGAAAACACTGTGCTTTTCTACGTTTTTGACGGCTGGAAAGGCGCAAAATGTGGAAAACTACTTAACAGTGAGGCTATACTGATCCCCATCTAAGCTTGGTTTTGGGCATGGATTTCGCTCAAGACATGAGCAAAACATTGTGTTTTTGACACTTTCGCGTGGGCGCAAGGCCTCGGAAAGCGTGAAAAACATAAACCTGCTTATTGGTGAGGCTTCACTGGCCCTCGCCAAACCCGGCTTTGGTTGATTGCATTGCCTACAGCGAAGTGTCTCAAAATAAGAGTGAGTGAGTGAGTGAGTGAGTGAGTGAGAGAGTGAGTGAGTGAGTGAGTGAGTGAGTGAGTGAGTGAGTGAGTGAGTGAGTGAGTGAGTGAGTGAGTGAGTGAGTGAGTGAGTGAGTGAGTGAGTGAGTGAGTGAGTGAGTGAGTGAGTGAGTGAGTGAGTGAGTGAGTGAGTGAGTGAGTGAGTGAGTGAGTGAGTGAGTGAGTGAGTGAGTGAGTGAGTGAGTGAGTGAGTGAGTGAGTGAGTGAGTGAGTGAGTGAGTGAGTGAGTGAGTGAGTGAGTGAGTGAGTGAGTGAGTGAGTGAGTGAGTGAGTGAGTGAGTGAGTGAGTGAGTGAGTGAGTGAGTGAGTGAGTGAGAGTGAGTGAGAGTGAGTGAGAGTGAGTGAGTGAGTGAGTGAGTGAGTGAGAGAGAGAGAGAGGAGTGAGTGAGTGAGTGTGAGTGTGAGTGTGAGTGTGAGTGAGTGAGTGAGTGAGTGAGTGAGTGAGTGAGTGAGTGAGTGAGTGAGTGAGTGAGTGAGTGAGTGAGTGAGTGAGTGAGTGAGTGAGTGAGTGAGTGAGTGAGTGAGTGAGTGAGTGAGTGAGTGAGTGAGTGAGTGAGTGAGTGAGTGAGTGAGTGAGTGAGTGAGTGAGTGAGTGAGTGAGTGAGTGAGTGAGTGAGTGAGTGAGTGAGTGAGTGAGTGAGTGAGTGAGTGAGTGAGTGAGTGAGTGAGTGAGTGAGTGAGTGAGTGAAGTGAAGTGAGTGAGTGAGTGAGTGAGTGAGTGAGTGAGTGAGTGAGTGAGTGAGTGAGTGAGTGAGTGAGTGAGTGAGTGAGTGAGTGAGTGAGTGAGTGAGTGAGTGAGTGAGTGAGTGAGTGAGTGAGTGAGTGAGTGAGTGAGTGAGTGAGTGAGTGAGTGAGTGAGTGAGTGAGTGAGTGAGTGAGTGAGTGAGTGAGTGAGTGAGCGAGCGAGTGAGTGAGTGTGCCATCTTAGTAGATGTTTTTTGCCACACGCTTATGGGCCTGCTTCCTTCCGCAAACGTGCCTCGCGCAAGTTGCCCCGTGCTTCGAACAGATTGCAGTAAACTGAGGCTGCCGGCGCGGCCGGTGGTGCGTCAGCAACGTAAATCCGGCTACGCCTCCTTGGGGTAGCATGTCGCCGCTAGGCAATTAGCCTGCTAGCTTTAACTATAGGGGCTGCACCCTGGCGCCGCCGACCCTCGCCACTTGGTCGTGATGCGCGGCCTAAATCCGGCACCTCTGCATCACCAGCTCGGGCTTGCGGTTGAAACCCTCGCGAAACATCGCGTATATGCAGGGTTTAGGCCATGTGGGTGACATCGTCAGGGTCTGGGGCTGGGTCTGGGTGATGCTTCAGCGGGGCTTGGTCTGCATCATCAAGACTTCCTTCCAAAAAGCCTCTCCACCCAAAAAGCACTGTTTTGAAGTAGGTATCGGAGGGGTATAATCGAGGCTCATTTTTGCGCATTTCGGCGCCAAGCGCTGCCGGGCATGCCGGCGATGCTGGGTCCTCGCTCTACAAAACGCTGTGAATACCGCCAAAAACTGCTGCGCTGAGCGTTGGGCTGTTGTTCTGTCCGTTTTGCTTTTGCTGTGGCTGGCTCGCGTGCTGCGCGATCCTTGCTTTTTTCGCGTTGGTTTTCGGGCTTCTGCGGGCTGCTCTTTTTGGGCTGCTTTTTTGGGTCCTCTGGCGCGCGCGCGCGCGACCCCATGTCAGCCTTCTGGGTTGGCGCCCGGATGGGGCCCAGAAAGCCGGCATCCCCGGCATTATCTGGGGTTAAGGTGGGCAACATGCATAACCTAACCAGCCATATCATAGCACACGCTATGTTTCTCATGCAAAAAACATGACATGACATTGTATAACTTCAAAGAGGCGTAGCCGGCTAGAGGCCGCAGGCCCAGAAAATAACTACCCTCCCTCCAATGGAAGCTGACGATCGGAGGGCTTTGTAAGACTCCAGTACTTTCCTTTTGGGGAAGCCCTTTGTCCGCCCTGAAGGTAACAAACAAGAGTCTCTTCAAAAGGACGCCGACGCTCGCAAGGTGAGGGGCCAAGTGGTGAAAGAAGGAGATCCGGGAGCAGCTCTGCTCCACCAGGGCACCGCTGCGGATGGAGCACATGAAGAGGAAAGCGCCTCGTCTCTCGCACCGAAACGAAGCGAATCGAGGCGAGATCAAAAAAGACCAGCAAAAGGCTCCCAAAAAAAGCATCGCCGCTTTGCGTGTCTTGGATTCTCTGGTTTGCAAAGCCTTAAGGTCCCAGGCGCATAATGCAAAGGAGAGCGTCACCGCGATGAAATACATCTGCGCCTATTCCTCAGGCCAAGGGCTTCTCGGCCACGTTCCGGATCACGCGGCTGTGTGGGGGGCGTCTGGTGAGGTTCCCTTTTGGGATTGCTTTGAGGAAAAGTAAGAGAAGAAAAAAGAAAAAACATTTCGGGGGCACTTGTAGACACCAGTAGATTCGGCAGTAGATTCGGCTGCCCAATCCTGCCCACCTGCGCAACTCTGTGTGTGCGCGGCGGTGCATTCATCAATGAACGCAACGAAAAAGAAAAATCAAAGAGTGACATTTCAGGGAAACGCTCCCAAGGCAAACAAAGTCATCCTCCCCGTGTCTGACACGGTCCAACTCCGATTTGGGCCACGGTTCCCAGGAGCTCATGAGCTGACGCCGCGGAGTCGTTCCGCGACCTTCATGGCGCGCTCACCAGGCTGCCAGCGGTGGCGAATGTCTTTTCGTGGGGAGTACTTCTGCCTTTTGACGGGCGCAGAAGTCGCCCCCAAAGCTCCAAGCAGAAACACTGAGACACCAGAAACCACCTGCTTTTTCTGTTTAGAGGTTGCTTTTATTTTGAAACAAGCCCACTCAGTGCTGGATCTGCCCTGAAAACGCCGCTGAGTGAGCATGAATGGAGAACCGATTCCAAGCCGATGTTCGTCGAGTTGGGAATGATTGCCAGCGGCAAATCCTTTCTTGGAATGGCTTGAGGCTTGAGGCAGCTCAAGGCCGGTATTCATTCAATGCATTCCAAACATGGGAACCTGGCGTAGGAAAACTGTCGATATGGGAGGCCCGAATGCTTCATTTCTGTCAACCCTCTCCATGGCACGCTCAGACCAAGGCATTGCCCTTTCAGCGAAGATTCCCATGCCCTTTTGCACCGAGTCTCAATCAAGGCTTGGTTGATTATTCGTGCATGTTGATGCCTTTGCGCGTCAAATGACTCTAACGACTTCCCGCAATCAAATTGCCATCGCAAGCGTCCTGCAAAAGCAAATGCATGCCTTGGAACCTTAGCAGACAAGCACGCCTCGCCTGTGCCTCCAACATTTCAGCTCAGAATTCACAGAAGCGGAGGAGTAAAAGCAATCTTGGAAAGTACCAGCCAGCTCCACACACAAAAGAACCCTAACCCTAGACCCTAAACCCCAAACCTGGAAATGACGTGACATTCGGGGTTGCTCATTGCAGAGGCATGCATCAAAGCTGAATGTTTACGTGCATACATGAACCCCTGCTGCAAACCCCTAGTGTATGGGTCAATCAACCGTTAGTTGTGGCTTAACCGTGGGAAATCAGCAAACATTCCACAATGGCAACGGCTTCATATATGGACCCATACAATCAGCCTCTGATCGGAGCGACATATAAGAAAACAAGGCAAGCGGCATAGAGGCACACACTTTGACCACCTGCCTGTGTCTCTGCCCATCGCTCCCGCAGATCGCCCTTGCTCTGCAGGCGGTCCTCACACTACAAGAAAAAAAGCCAGGCACTCCCCATAGCTATGGCAGGTTCGGAAATACCGTGGATGGACGAAATCCTGCACCGCCTAAGAAACCATGGTTGAAACCTTCTTAGTTGGTAGTTACAAGGCAGTTGAAACCCTTCTTGGTTGGCGAACTGGATTTTGTCCATCCACAGTATGGCTGGTATCCAGGGAATGGCACACAAAGTGCGGCGGCCTATGTCAGAAGTTTTTGGGGCTGGCCACACCCAGGAGAAGGGTGCACCACACCCTGGGCTTGAAACCAGGTTGCGAGGACCAGTGTTCGGATTGCCAACTCTGAGAACTCCCAGCGAGTGGGCTCCGGATCACCGAATCCCTTTCCAGCAGGAAACAAGGCCAAGCCATGTTTGTTGACAGGGTACTTCGCAAATCCTGGCACCCTACGTTGGGCTGAAAGGAGAAAGCACAGGGAAGCCGACAACTGCCGGGGAAATGGTGTTTCCCTTTCAATCCCAAAATCGCGCGGGAGGTGGAGCAGAGGAGAGTACACCAGAACAAACAAAGCAACTGGAATTGCTACCCCGGAAGAGGCAAACCCTCAAATTGACCAGCTTACAAACAGATTATCCTTGCTGGTCTTTCCCTTCAAGACCTCCAAACCGGTTTTGGGGTGTGACCCTGGAAATTAGGTGTGGCCTCTCTTCCTTTTTTTACCACCGCAAAGAAAAGGCATAGCAGCAAAATCCCTAATCCTCTCTGGGCGTGATTTGTCCCTTTTGGGCGGCCCTTTTACCCTCCAAGCCCGACTTTGGCCGCCCGAACATCGGAAGCCGAGGGCCCGTGCCTCCAGCTGCGCCTCCACGCGCCGCTCCAGCTGCGCCAGGCGCTTCTTGGAGCCGTCCACGTGGCCCTCGCGCGCGTGTTTTTTTGCGCGCGCGCGCGAGCGGTCGGCCGGGGTTGCGGCCAGTGCTGTGTTTCTGGGGGGTCGCCTTGTTCTGAAAATTCGAAACCAGTTTGATCCGTTTGTTGGAGGCCTCGTTGTGGTGTTGAAGGGAGACTAAAAGGAAAGATGAGCCCATTTTGCGGTGATGTTTGCGCGACCAAAAGGAACATATTGAAAATGACGGAGCCGATTAGGGGGGGGGGGGCTGTCGAACCAAAACCAGGAAACAAAGCCATCCCACCAAGACAGCTATCTTCTCCCTTTATTGGCTTAAGCTTGTTTGAGCCACCCCGCCCCCCAAGAGGGGAGAACCACCTAGAACCCCAAACCCGCAAGGTTATCCCCGGTGTCCTAGTTTACCCAAGTTCCTCAGAGGAAGGAAGCCGCATAGCGGCGGGATCCAACCATTAGGAAAAACAAGTAAGCGGACTGGGCGACGCCCTGAAACATGACTGTGCAAATCTGACTGCTCTCATGTCGGTGACATTCGCGCACGGGCACCTCTTTCATTCTGCTAGTGAGAGTCCGGGGAAATCTCGGTGGCATCACTTAGTGGTGCAAAAACTGCTTTAGGCAACGGGTGGTTTTGGGCTGCACGAGTCCCAGCTTTCAAAGGCTGTTGAGTCTCGGCATTCCCAGCGTCCCGATTTCCTCCCAGGGCGGGTTGGGCGGGTTTCCCAAAAGACTGTGGATTAAAACAGGGCACCCACCCTCACCACCCTTACAGCCGAAAGCATCGGTGATCTGCATGAGTTTCAAGGTGATCACAATCACACAATCCAGTGCAGTTGCGTTTTAAAATTCAAACCGCTCTGTTATAAAAATCTCAAGTTGCCGAGCTGTTCGCTTCCCAGCTTGTTCTCAAGGCCTCGACGGCATTCCAGCGGTTTTGTATAAACTTGACGGAGGGGATTCACCAAACCGGTCAGGGTTCAACAGGTTTTGTTCCTCCCCACTGCACAAGAGAAAAGGGGTGGAAAAAAGGGGAACAAGCCGGGACAATTCATGTCCCTGTTAAGCCAGCAGGAGAGAAAGTACTGTCTGTTTGCAACAGAAATTTCCTTCTCCCTTTATTGGCTTAAGCTTGTTTGAGCCACCCCGCCCCCCAAGAGGGGAGAACCACCTAGAACCCCAAACCCGCAAGGTTATCCCCGGTGTCCTAGTTTACCCAAGTTCCTCAGAGGAAGGAAGCCGCATAGCGGCGGGATCCAACCATTAGGAAAAACAAGTAAGCGGACTGGGCGACGCCCTGAAACATGACTGTGCAAATCTGACTGCTCTCATGTCGGTGACATTCGCGCACGGGCACCTCTTTCATTCTGCTAGTGAGAGTCCGGGGAAATCTCGGTGGCATCACTTAGTGGTGCAAAAACTGCTTTAGGCAACGGGTGGTTTTGGGCTGCACGAGTCCCAGCTTTCAAAGGCTGTTGAGTCTCGGCATTCCCAGCGTCCCGATTTCCTCCCACTGTTCACGACGCTGTCACCTTTCCCTTACTCTCCAATCCGGGCCCCTCCACAAGGGCCTTGATCAGGCGGTCTGGCACCACGAAACTCTCGGGCCGATCTAAACCTACCCAACGACAAGCTTCTTCGGCCGCAAAACGAGAGGGCCCGTCAGAAGGGTTGGACGCAGACGGGACTCGCTCGATCCACTGGAAACAAGGCCTACGCGTCTCCAGTTCGCAGTACTGGTGGAGCAGGCTTTGCATTGCCCCACTTCTGCTAATGCCCTTGATAAGTCCGAACCTGGCGCTCTCATTATCTATCCAGATAATTACTCGGCGGTTTAACCAAGCTGCGCCCATCACTTCTCGCAAGGCCACAACAGCCAGCAACTCCACTTCACAAATGGCTTGCTCGCCCACCGTTTCCGACCAGAATGACGCTAGTTCAAGAGGGACCGTGCCTTCAAGCACATGTCCGGCACCGGTGCCCATGTCGACCACCACCGCGCCCATGCCGCCCTGATGGTTCTCCCAGGATCCATCTGTGAAAACTATCACGGGCCTCTCATCAAGCTGAGCTGGAATGATCCTGGGCTTTCCCTTCTGCAGAAGAGACACGGCTTTGCTGCACACGTTTTTCAACTTGGTGGGATTTGGGGAACCTTCCAATCCCAGCCTAAGGAATTCTGCACTAGCTTGCATGAGCTGTCGGCCTGCAAAGTGGCCACTCGCATACCTGAGCAACCCATGCACCGACTGAGCCTCTTGCTTGGTCACCTTCCCCTGGCGAGCGATGTCCTCCAAAAGGGCACATAGGCGTTCCACTCTGCCAGGTTTGTTGCTGAGCGTGATCACACCTTCGTGCAAGCGGGACAAGTCCAAGCGCATACCAAGCACAACGAATTCCGGCTGGAAGCTGGGGGCCTTGGGAACCGTTTTGGCATGTCGCCATCCCAACAAGTCGAAAAGGGCCGACGCAGACTCGTCCGCCTCGCGGCTGGACTCTGCAGGTGAAAGGAGGGGGAAGTCATCGTAGAACACACTGGATGGTATCATCAATTCCTTGCACAGCAAGAATCTGAGGCTCCTCGAGATTCGGTTAAACGCAAACACCGCTGCCGAACTGCCGAAAATCAACGAGTTGGCCACGTGGAAGACTGCATGCCCCTCCGGAGATTTGTAGAAAATTACTGCCAGGTCCCTGTGGGGGGGGTAGATCGGAAGTTGTTTATAGGCCTTAGACAGATCCAAACATTTCCCCACCCACTGGCCCGACCCAGAACGCTGGCGGCCGCTGCACACACGCTTGGAGACCTCTAAGCTCATGGCAGTAATGAAGTCTGTATCTTGGAGTTGCAAATGGATGGAGGCGGTGAAAGCACTGTTCAGTTGGCACTCCAAAGCATCGTCTATCGGCCTGAGTTTCTCCTCAGTGCCTTGGACCTTCTCCTGTTTGAGCCAAAGTCTTTTTTCTTAGGGGGAGAAACAAACACGAACACAACTCGCACGCCCACCAGTATCGTTGATGTGCAAAATCATATACAAATAATTCAGGTATATCATTAAATTCAATGATATCAGGCTCACTCAATATTGACGCACACCTCTTTTGGCTGCAGCTCACGGCCAGGTCAAGGGGAATATATATGTTGGGTGTCGTTCAGGAACACCCACAAGAGAATCACCGGTTGACCATTTCCAGAGTCATGGAGTCTGGTCGTGATTCATCCCCCCAGTTCACCCTTGGGTCAAAAAGAGAGGGCTCTCAGGCCCAGTCAGGGCGGGTTGGGCGGGAAAAACAAAAACTATTGCTGCGAGCGACACCCTCCCACCGCACCCTCTTGAGTAAAGCGGTGGCAGCAAAGAGTATGAACAAGGTGTCGAGACACATGCAAGTCAAGGCATCTCAAAAGGACAGACACGGTTTCAGACATGGCTGTTCCAAACAAAAAACTGAAACCAAATGGTTCGAAAACTGGTTCGGGTGCAAAACTGTGCCTGTTGTTGTCCACGAAGGCTTCCCCCACCTAAAAAGACCCGGTGAAAGGGCTCACCGTGTTTGGCTTCATTCAGAGAGAAGGTTTTGTCCACAAGTGGAAATGTCCTTCTCCTGTTTGAGCCAAAGTCTTTTTTCTTAGGGGGAGAAACAAACACGAACACAACTCGCACGCCCACCAGTATCGTTGATGTGCAAAATCATATACAAATATAATTCAGGTATATCATTAAATTCAATGATATCAGGCTCACTCAATATTGACGCACACCTCTTTTGGCTGCAGCTCACGGCCAGGTCAAGGGGAATATATATGTTGGGTGTCGTTCAGGAACACCCACAAGAGAATCACCGGTTGACCATTTCCAGAGTCATGGACTGGTCGTGATTCATCCCCCTTTTACCCGACCAGTGTCAGCCCGGTGATACCATATCGAGGAGCTCCGACGGGAAAGGAAATTCACAACAAGTTGCGTTCCGAAAAAGAGGCATCACTTCGTGAGATCTCTGACGCGAGGGTGCATCCGCCACGTTTGAGGATGAAGGCACCCGTTCAATCCAACTGTGAGTGGGTAAGTCGACGTCCACCAGATAAAAGGCCTTAATGAGGCGCTGCATTGATTTGCTGGCGCTCAATCCTTTGATCAAACCAAACCTAGCCGCCTCGTTGTCCACCCAAAAGATTGAACGTCGGGCGTGCAAAAGTTCACGAGTCGTCCAGCGAATCAAAACGAGGGTGAACAGCTCGATCTGACAGATAAGCTGGTTGCCAACCTCAACTAGCCAGAAGTCCAACAGCGATTGGGGGACCAGTCCAGAGAACACCCAAGACGAGCCATCCCGAGTATCATGAATGCACGCGCCAATACCTGCTACCCCTTGCTCCCAAGAACCATCAGTGAAGACAAGGATTGGTTCAACTGCACTGCCAGAAACAAGTCGCCGAGGCTTGCTTGTTTTCAAAAGGTCAACTGCCTGCTCACAAAAGGCTCGGATAAGAAGCGATTTGTTACGCGAAGGGAGCCTGCCCAAAGCTAGAGCTTCTGCAGATAACTGATGCAAGGCTTTCCCCAAGTAAAAGCCGCTGGAATATCTGAGCAGGCCATGCAGCACTTGTGATTCATGCAGAGTCAAGTTCCCGCTCGCATGATGAGCTTCCAGGTGCTCAACCAAACGCCGTATGCGGCCTGCTTTGTTTCCCACCGTTATGACTCCTGCCGCAGTCTCGTTCAGGTCCAAGGTTGCCCCAAGCACATCGAAGGTGTAACGGAACGGAAGGCCCTTGGGCCCTGTGCGGGCGTGACGCCACCCCAACAGGTCCAAGAGAAAGCTAGCCGCGGCATCTGCGTCCTCAGCAGTTTCTTCCGGTGAGAACATTGGAAAATCATCGTAGAAGAAGGACGTGGGGATGAGGAGCATCTTATTGAGGAGGTACCAGAGGCTTCTGCTCACCCGATTAAACGAGTACACCGCAGCCGTGGATCCAAACATAAGGGCGTTGGAAATATAGAATTTCGCCCGCCCCG